TTATTAAACATTTTCTTATTTCATCTTGTATAGTTTTTATATAATGTATGTATATTTATTAGGCCTACAACTTTTAACGTTTTTCTATGTCCCAAATCTTCAGTGGTAGTGCCCGCTTAACATCTTAGCACGAATGTGCCGGCACGCCCGGTGTAATACCACGACCACTCAGAAGACAGGTTTGAAATGGAAGCAATTCCGTGTTTCGTCTGATTAGTGTGGGTGCCGGAGGGCGAATTTCCCTTTGTCTTCACCACCCTCTTCCTTACAAGGAGAGGATGGGAAGGGGAAGTGGATTTGACGGTGGAGGAGATGCATAGGAAGGGGCAATATCCTCTTTATGTGCGTCTCCTCCTCTGTCTGATAAAGGTAGGCAACGCATCTGCGATCGCAGATGTCTATGGGCGGCGGTCGCTTCGCCATTTTGGAGGATTCAGGTGGCCGCTTACTCGTTTGCCAACTAATGTTATAAAAAAAAAAAACTAGATTCGCTACAATTTTTAGATACATAATCATTTGTCATGTGTTACACAACAGCAAGGTCAAGTTGCTTGTTTATCATTGTAATAACTGTTAACAAAGGATGTGTTAATATATTTCTCATGCGATTCTTAACTGTTACAATTCTTCCGCTCATTGTATCTTATTATTTGTTTACTTAATATTTCAACCAACCTCTTTAGAGCATAAAAACAAAATATGACCGAAAAAGTAAATCAACGCCATCTATCAGAATAAAAATACTGACTTCGAATAGTTTTTAACAGGGAAGAAAAAAAAAACAATTTTCGAAAGCATAATTTAATAACACTATAATCACGACTTTTGTGCGCTGCCTACAGATTCGTGCTATAGATGCCCACACATTATACAACCCGTGCACCATAACATGATATGCAATTATTTAATTACGTCACATTTAGTATGGTTATTTGTCATGTTAGATTATTTTAGGTTAACTTTTAGTACATTGCGTAGTTGTGACGTCATCAAATATAGATCAAGTTATTATACACTAGTTGTTTCATAAAAATAATTCATGCAAACTATTATTACATATAAAATCTTAGGCTCTGCTAAATATGCTATATGCTTTTTAGCGTTTTAAATAGCTTCTTTATGACTACAAAATAAAATCTGATATATGAAAGATTCAACATTTCAAATTGTATAATAATATTTTTACTTTGAAAAACCTATTAATATTTTTTTATTTACTCTTTGCACTTTAATTAAGGCATTCTGTTATAACAATTTATTATCTGTTTTAATTTCCGAACGAAAATGTCAATTGACTGAAAAGCAATGCAAAATGTGCAAATGCATTTTAAAGTGAAATTAAAAATGTTAAGAGAATATTATTTATTCATACTTAAATATCAATAAAAGTGTAAATCCTAGATATATATTTAATTTTATATCTAAAAATATCACTCGAAAATAAAGCAATTTTTAATATATTTTGGCAACATGCTTTTTAACGCGTTTTTTAATACTTTTATTTCCTTAATAAATATTATAGATATGATAAAGAGAAAAATGTTAACAAACAGCGAGCGTAAATTGGATTTATCAGTTTTTTTTTTTCATTATGGTTAATTTTTAATATTTAAATCAAAGACAATCAAAAACATCATAAAACAATAATCGAAAAATACTATAGTGTTAGAGACCATTATTATTTAACATAATTATTTAAAAAAACTCATAGTTTTGGTACCAAAATTAAATTTAACACATGAAATTACATCACAGATAATTTTAGTACAGATATAACCTTGTTTTAATATTATTGAACTATGGCAAGTTGGACTAGTTTTTTTTTATTCTTTGGACGTATTTTAAAGTAATTAAATTTACTCCAATAGTAAATATTTAACATTTGAAAATAGATCTCAAACTTTTGAACATCAAAAGTAGTTGACTATTTAAAGCAACGTAAAACATGGCTTGAATAAGAAATGACTAGAAATTTAAATATTGGAGTAAAGGAGGGATTATAAATTTGCAGTTAAAATAAATTCTTTCAATTAGCTTGGGTCTCTAACACAAAAAAATTGTAACTTTCGATCTTACATAATCCAATTTAATTACTCACAACCAATAAATCTTACACTCTTACATTACAATAATTGTAAACAATATTCAATATTTAATTTCGATAAATAAATCAATAACGATAACAAAAAAATAACAATGTATAACACAATCAAAGGTGGAAATCAGGTACAAACAAAAATACTTTGGTTTAAATTAGTTGCTTTATGGCAACACTGAACTCCATAGATAATACAGATAAAAAATAATTTATAAAGCACGTCGCCGTGTACTTGTAAAGGCAAGCATTGACAATGTAATTTTTACTCATTGGTACTTATTTTTTTATTATTTGTTAGGAATCCGATCCCTAAGATATGACAACAAGCTCGCTGTACCTTTTGCTAAAATGGCGTGTCGCGGTTGTCGGAAACAATTGCCCATTAATTCAAGAGCCCTGAAAATAATGTTTTTTAATTTAATTAATAATTTATTTTAATGATTAACATTACTTTAATGGTCTTCAGTGATTGAATAACAAAATCAATGTTGTAGTTTTATTATCTATATTAGACATCATTCTCGAACTACTTCTTGTCTCACCAATTTATTATTATAGTCACTATAATTACATATATTAACAGAATTTAACCCATGTTCAAATATTATGAAATTATTTTCCACTTGACATTACCATAAAATTATATTTTTTCTTTATTGGTAACTCAAGTCAATACCAACATCACGAAAAAAAATCTCTTTTTTTGTATAAATCTACAGAACCCAAGTGGGTGGGTGGGGAGTAAGTAAGTACTTAAAATACGTCACCAGTTTATGATTGTCAAAAAAAAACCTCTTGCTTGATTACAGGTAAAAATGTGCTCCTTTTTCTAATTTGATCAGTTAATCAGTTATCCACACTAATATTTTGAAAAGGAAATAGACGATTGTTTGTATTCTTACCTCAAGTTAGTGAAATTCCCAAGTTCCGGTGGCACTGTAATAATACTGTTGTTTGTCAAGTCTAGAACTGCCAGTTTCTTTAATTTGGCCAACGCGTCTGAGGATACATTAATTTCGGTGATTTTATTCTCTCCAGCCAAGAATATTTCCAAATTATCCATGTCATATACACAACGTGGTATCTTCGTAAATCTGTTTAAAACAAAATTTTAAATAATTAACAAAAAAATGATGTATAATATTTTTCCAATTATCCAGTTAAACAATAAATAACCTATAATAATAATAATACGATATCAATAAGGGTAGACTGAGTTTACAATCGACATTTTCCGTATACAAATGTATCCGACTCGAAGGACCATAATGTTTTAAACTTACTTGTTGCATGAAATCACTAATTCCCTCAAGTGCTTCAAATTACCAAATTCCAAGGGCAAATCCATTAAACAGTTCTTGCCCAAATCCACATATTGCAAATGAATACAACTACTTATTTCTCTTGGAATGCTTTCGATATTGTTTGAGGATAATATCAGTTGGGATAATGTATTTTTTATTTGACATATTCTGTGAAGAAAAATTATTTAAGTTTTAGAGCCTGTCTTGCCACTGGCTGATTGAGGCTCAGATAGCTTAAAAATGACGTCTTTGTCAGATAAGGTAACAAAATCCGATATTTCCATTACGTCTGTCACTAGAGGATGGCCACCGAGGGGGTTTTGGTAGGTCTAATTCTACATAACCCTGCCTTTCCCCCAGTCAAGATATTTTTTGAAGATTCCCCCCCGATACCAAAAAAAGGCCCCTAATATTGTCTCAGTCAAATCATTTATGAATATATGTGATTTTCAGTAATTTACAAAGGTAAAGAAATTTACTTACCCTAAGGGCACTTCTTTAAGTTTATTCTTTGATATGTCTACAATATGCACTTCAACAGTCGCGGCCGTTGTGAATACATCCTCGGGTACTGACGACAAATCTTTACCTGGTAACATTAACGCTTGGCTTTTCTTTAATGTAAATCTGAAAAGCATTATTTATTCCGTAACAGTACTTAATTTCATTGAATTAATAAAATCGATGCTTTTATACGTAAAAGAAACACGTAGATATACTCTTGGGATTGTATGTAACACTAATGGAGTTTTTATTACATTACACGCGTCAATTGACTTAATGGTTAGTCGTATTAATAACTATGACAGTGTAGATATTTATATAACACAAAAGAATAAAAAGCAAGAAACTAAGAAATTGAAAACATAATATAACACTCTTGATTTCTTCGCCGTTCAGTATATAATAGCGTTAAAAAAGTGAACGTATTTAATTGCATTTGCACCGCTTCTCTCTACTGCTGCCTTATGTTTATGCATTATGATAATATTACAGTTTTTAGGTCGAATATGTATTATACGCGATTTCCGATTCGTTACATTCTTTTGTTCATTTGAATTATTGAGATATACCGGAAGTAATTAAGGAATGGAAAAAATAAAGGATAGGGACCTGCATAGTCGAAAATTGAGTTGTCGGAAAACGGGTTTTAGTTGCCAATAATTTATCTCGGATAAAAATAAAATTTATAGTAAGAGAGTTAAGGTGACAATTAAATTGAATTGATAATAATTTTATACTTACTTGTCTGGCCATTCGTTGTGTAATATTTTGGAATCACTGTCGACCTCTTCCGCGATACGATCTCGTAAATATTTCATCATCCTGTCGGTCCCCCCTCTGATTATATCCTGTCTCACAAACGACAATTTGTTCCCGTCCATATTTATACTTTGTAGCTGCGATAGTAAACCAAGATTTCTTGGCAACCTGGAAATATGTAAAAATAAGCGTTTGTTTAAAATTTAAACGATTTTTGACAAAATAAACGAGTAAATTGAAGTTAAACTTCCGCGCTCTAACTGTAAAATGACGAATTACAAACACATCACTTTGTAAATTAACCATTAGATATGTAAGTTACCGACTATATAATTTGCCTAGTCAAATTACAAACGATCGATATTCACAATCAAACGGTGACACAAATAGGAATTACATATAATTGGGAAATACTAACTTGTTTAAATTATTATTGGTAAGATCAAGTCTCTTCAGTCTTTGTAACAATGATATGTTTTCTGGTAACAATTCAATTTTATTATCCCTTATATTTAAAACATTTAAATTTTGCATTTGATCACAGAATTCCTCCGTTATCTCCTTAATAAAATTATTAGCGATATATATTTCTTTCAAAGCTGTACATCCATAAAAATCGGGCAATTTTTCTATATCATTATGATTTGCATCTAAAATTTCCATTTTTCTTAGCTCACCCATTGCTGGCAGTTTCTTCAAATTATTATGACTGATATTCATCTTTCTTAATTCTAAAAATTTCAATATTTAACTCATTAAAACCAAAATAATGTCATTAAAATATTAAATCATGTGTACTAAATTTAATTAAATTTTAATAGAATCTAAATCTAGTATTCAGTATCCTGAAACATTAAAAAGTAAGATTATTTTATAATGTTTACCTCTTAAATTAACAATATCAGGGGGTAACTCAGTCAGTTCATTATAGGAGAAATTTAAATCCACCAATCTCACTAAATATCCCATACCAGGTGGGAGCTCTGTTAGCTTGTTATGTGAAATATCCTACAAAATAAACAAATAAGTCAAGGATTTGACTAAAAAACCAAAATTTTTATCTACACTTAACTAATTTAACAAAATATTAACAAACAAAAATTTAAAAAACCATCAACCTTATAAACAATACAATATTAGTTATATAAACAATTATTTATTACGACTAGTTGTCCTCAGTTTACAAAACAAACATTTTTTTAACAATTATTTGTCAACATACACATTGTTTTTGTTTTCACCTAGCTAGAAGAGAATCTTAATAATTCTTACATTTCATTTGACTACATAATTTTATAAACAACTAAAAAACATACTTATTATTTTTTATTAAGAAATTCATACCAGAAATGTCAACATCACAAGGTCACCAAATTCAGGTTCAATTTTCTTCAATTCATTATGAGACATACTGAGCCATCTCAGTTCAGTTAATGTATGAAATTCTTTAGGCAACTCTGCTATTTTGTTACGGTCCAAACTTAGGTTGGCTAAGTTTTTCAATTCACCAAATTCAGCTGGCAATTTTGTCAGTGCATTATCATGAAGCTAAAATATCACAAATAAAATTAATTCAAGGAAATTGTTAAAATATTGTTTACAAAGCAGTAGTAAAAATATAAATAAGTAATAAATAAAAAAACTAAGGTTATTTATACAAGTAAAATTTAAGAAAATTTGCTATAAATTCTACATTGCTTGAATACTTTGTGTAAATTATTTAATTTATAGTTAATCCAGCCTGTATACTGCACAAAGTACACTGTTTTATATTTTTATGGTTAATTACCTTGAGAGTAACAAGTTGTTGCAGTAGTTTTACGTCCGGCGAAATTGTTTTTATAACATTGGAACTGAGGTCGAGAGTTTTTAATGGTACATCAGTCCACCAACTATTATTGTCCGATCTTGCAAAATCGACTTCTTTCGTTTCTTCCAACACCAATTCGTCAATTTTCCATACTTTGTCAGGTACTATAATACATTGTCAATGGAAAATATTGTGGAGGCGGTGAGAAAAACTATAAGTTTCGATAATATATTCATACCTGTGCCCAATCCTCTATTACAAAGACTCAACTGGCCTGTGCGTTTGGCTGATTTGATTAATCCTATTGATAACTCATTTGCATCTGCATTTTTATCTTGAAGATTAAAAACAGATTTGTTACAAACTTTAATTCTTGATTTAATTGGTGTACGGCGAGACATCGTTAAATTTAGTTAAGTTTTATTTATATTATTCAAATTGCTTATAGAAGACCAACATAGTTATTCAACACAATGATCACAATTAATTAAATAACAACATCCACCCAGTTGCTTTAATATTATACCAAAACTGCGTAATCGTAAAACGTAATCGCACTCGCGTTGCGGTAATTCCGTCCCCACTCCCAATCCCTTGAATTAATAAAATTCTGTCAAATTCACTTCGACAGATGATAGTATTGCCATTATAAACGTCGTCATTTTGTCGTTACTTTCAGTTACTTTTATAATTAAAAACATTCGTGAATAGATAACACAACTATTCGAGGCAGCAAAAGTATGTTTAATGGAATTCAATTGTAGAATAATAGTAAAAATAACAGTACAGTTACGTTTATCTATAACTGAATAAGTGTAAAGGTGTAATGCTAAAACATGTTTCCTCGCTTATTTTCAAGTGTCAAATAAGTGGCAACACGGATCAGCAGTACTTGGCCCTTTGCTTGATATGAAAAAATAAAGTTTTTTCAATGTTATGACTTATTATACGAAATATTTAAGATTACAAATTTGTTACCGACAAACCCATTGCAGAACACTTCAATTCGTCGATTTTTAAATGATTCGTTATTCGCGACTTGCATATTCATCTGTAAAGATATTCCAGACGTTAATACTTATATTGATGACCAAATTTGGCCATTACATCAATGACTTTTCTTAGAGGGAAAAACCATGCATTAGATAAAATACTACGACCTCACAAAAACTGACGTAAAATAGAACTACGTCTGATGAGAGAGGAGATAGGGAAAAGTAGGATAGGATAATATTGATCATCAAAATTATCATCCTGTAAGAGTCAAATGCACTGCTGGACTTAAGGTTTGGCCAATATTTTATAGACATAGGCTATAGATATGTTTACACGGTCACATGAATAATTAATGACAAATTCTTACCTTTAATATGTTGTGGAGTAAAATTTGGTTCATGCACTAAATAAAAATATCCTTAACGTAATTCAAGGTTTTGTAAATTGCGTTTACATTTAGATTGGCCAAGTTATATCAATATACAAAAATATGGGTTGGCTATAGTACCTAGGTTTTTGAAAAGTCACAAAAATGTCATAATTGCTTATTTTTTTTACAACATAAAATATTGAGTTGATGCTTTTGCCGATAAACATTAAATTATGGTCAAGCAACCAGCAGATCTGTTATTTAAAAATGGGACTTATATTTTGAGTAAATATCCTTTACCATATACAACAATTAATTTTTCATTTCAATCAAAAAAATCATTATTGGATATCACAATAACTCTGAGATAGTCTAGAATAGACAGAACAATTTTGCGCGCGAAAACACAAATGTTATTAAAAACGAATAGAATATAGGAAGGTTTTTACTTAAAGTAAATAATTTTTATTAATAACTTTTAAAAACATTACACAGATAAACAAGGTTAAGATCATATTCTGTAATCTAAATCGAGAATAACTGCGATTACTAGATTCTATGTCGATAGCCTTCATTGCATTGTATGATTTTGCTTCAACCATCACTTGAGGCACACTATTTAATTCACGAGCACTTTCTTCATTGCTTTTCCAATATATTGCAGCTAATGTTGCCAGACACTGAAAGATAATAGAAGAAATAAAAAACGCTGTAGATTTGAAGATTTCATTTCGGTTTGGTCAACTCTATTTTATTTAGTTATCTACTAGTCTAGTAGATAAATACAGTAGTACAGTATAAAGCATTTTTTTTTAGGTCAAGGCGGGTAAGTACGCTATTTTTGTTCATCTCTACCATACTATTATATACAGCCAGTTATGGAGTGATGGACATGGTAACATTTGAATGATTGATTTAATTAGGGAAAATAAATTATTAAAGTAATTGATTGTTAAAATAACTAAGTACCTTAACTTTAATTCCTCCATTGATAAAATGTTGCTCATTGATTTGAAACGATAAAGCTAGGCTCGTACTTTCGTAGCCTTCATTATCTTTGTCCACACGTGGTGACGTCACAGAGGTGAACGGCGCTGGTTCACCATTGATGTACCACGTCAGTCGCACTGAGGGTCGAGATCTGACTGATGTACAGTTTACGCTGAGCTGGTCACCTATTCGGTAGTATGGACTGAATCCTGAGATAACAGGGCCGTATTCTGGAAGAACTAAACAGAAAAAAAAATGTTGAAATGCCAACACTAATAATAAAAGATATAACAGAAGATAAGCTAGCTAAATCCTTAATAAAAGCAAACAAAAACAGTTATAGAATAATACTAAATTGAAAGCACAGACATATACTATACTGTCGCACTCATAATCTTTGAGTCCACCTTAGTGTTGAAGTAGTATAAAGTATCAAACCTAAAGGCTTCCATTAGTGACAGTGAAGGTTCTGGTGCAATTAGATAGATAACCTCTTACCCACGACGACCATGCTGGCGTGTTCAGAGACTGTCGGAAAAAGCGGCTTCTCTCCCGAGACCTCGCATCTATACCGGCCAGCGGAATCCAGTGTGGCAGGGCAAAGTGTTATGTTCGATGCCAATTCATCTGATTTCTAATAATAATAGTTTTTAAAATAAAACAATTGTACCTAATAAAATTTGAAAACAAAAAAATACTAGAGAAGTTGGTTCTACTCTATCCTAATATCATAACAGGGAAAATTAAATGGTTTGTCCAACACTTGCTTGTTGCATGATGTTGGAATTTTTATAATGAAGAATTATTTTAGAATGAAAAGTAACTAAATTGATTTTTATCTTTCTCCTTACATGAACTTCAACTCCTGGTAAATAATACTTCCTATGAGGTTCAGGATCTCGTGGAACGTAACGGAAGAATTCTTGGCCGTCTTTGTACCATTTGATGGAATAAAGCACGTCTTGAGGGCCCAGCTCCCAATGACAAGTTAATTCAGGTTGAGATCCAAGCTTTATGTAACTTGGTACTCGCAATTCCAGCAGCTTTAGTGACAGCATGCAGTCTGAAAGAGAAATATACGATAAATACATACGAAAAGGGAAGTTTTTTCAACTTGGAACTTAACAAATTCCTGTGGATAAAAGTGTAACACTAGCTGTTGCTCGCGACTAAGCTCGCGTCAAATTAAACTTATAATAAAAAGTATATACTATTTTACTCACTGATAACGTAGCTTTTTAAAGATGAAAGGTTTTTTGGCCCAGTAGTTTTTGAGTTATTACAATACATACAAAAATAGAAATCTTTTCTTTTATAATATTAGTTTATTCTCTTTATAAGTATAAGTATAAGTTTAAGTAAAGAAGTAAATTAATAACAATAATGCGTATTATATCTCGGTTGATATCGACTACAAAATAACAATATTTGTTCAATATAACCATTGTATCACTTAAATAATTACTATTCTGCAAGCGTGTTGTTATTGTTTTGAAAAAATGTATTATAAAATAATCATTTACAAGAGAATAATGGTTCTGTAACAGACACAATGGGAATTATAAAAACGATTTATATGTATTACAGAAATGTGCGAGATATGCTTTTTAAGTAGATAAAGTTGCACCTTAAAATACAAAGTTTGACTTCGCCCGCATGATATTAAAAAGCAATAAAAATATAACCTATTTTACTCACAGATAAAGTACCTTTCTAATGGTGAAAGAATTTTTAAAATCGGCCCAGTAGTTTTTACGTGAATCGAATACATACAAATATACAAATTATTCCCCTTTTATTATAATTATTCGCCCGCGACTCCGTTCGCGTCGAATTAAAAAAAAAAACAAAACTTAGTAGCCTATGTGTTCTTCCAGACTATCCTCTACGTCTATGCCAAATTTCA